GAACCTTTATTGTATCGGTGGGATCAAAACCCATAAAATGCAAATTATTTTTCTAACCCTATCCATTGATTTTTTTATTGTAAAATTTATCTAATTAAAAAATAAAAAAAATAAAAAATAACTTTATTAATATAATACATATATATAAATATAAAATTAAATAAATGATAAAATATATATATCTGGACAGAGTAAAAGACTTTGAACTCACATTCTAATTGATTTTGATTTAAAAAAAAAAAATTTCAATCCACTTCAAAATTTTAAAAAGTGCATTTATCAGATTCAGATGAATCAAAACTTTTTTAATAAAAATTGTTTTATCATCTATGGCTTCATTAACTTTTACCTTAAAAAGTTTATTTTTGAATACGTTTGTTGCAATATTTTTCTTTTTAAAAAACTCAATTTGCTCGAACTGCATCCCAAAAAAAAAAATAGCACATTTGTAAAATTTATATTAAAGATAATAAAATATATTTTTTATATATACCACGAGGAAGAGGCAAAATACCATTAATCTATAGTTAACCTGCTTTTGTTTCTTTTTAAAAAACTTATTTTGCTCCAACTTGATCCTAATAAAAAAATAGACCTGTCTGTGGTGACCTATAAAATATAAATTATTTTTTTATTTTTATTCATCGATTTTTTGTTGTAAAATTTATCTAATTAAAAAATAAAAAAATAATTTATTAATATAATATATAAATATAAAATTAAATAGATGATAAAAATATATTTATTATATATATTCTTGACAGGGCGAAAAATTCTAAACTTGCATTTTATTTGATTTTGATTTAAAAAAAAAAAAAACTTACTTCGAGTCAAAATTTAAAAAAACACATCTATTGAATTCAGATAAATCAAAATTTATTTAATAAGATTGATTTTGTCATCTATACTTCCATTAACTTTTACCTTAAAAAATTTATTTCGGATTATTTTTGTTGCAATATTTATCTAATTAAAAAAAATGAAAGGTAAAAAACGAAATAAGATGATATGAGGAAACATTCGTAGACATTTTTTCAAAAAAAAAAAAAATCTAATAAAAAAAGGAAGAAAAAAAGGAAAAAAAAAGGAAAGCAAAGTAAAAGCAAAAATAATAAAAAAAGGTAAAAAATTTAAGTTACCACATGATGTCAATAAATATGAGTTTTTTTTTTTTACAAAATTTATATTGTGATTTTTTCAAAAAAAAAAAACTTTATAAAAAGAAAGGATTGAAAAAAATTAAATTCAAATACCACGTAAACACCTTTGTCATTTTTTTTATAAAATTATCTAATTAAAAAATAAAAAATATTTTTAACCAATAATATCAAATAAATCTTTAAAAAATTAAAAAAATATTTATTAAATATAAAAAGAGAGAAAAAGTAAATAAATAAAATAAGAAAAAAAGAAAAAACAATGGATTTGACATATAATATGAAATGGACCTTATAAAAGAAAAAAAATAAAAATATAGAAAATAAAAATAAACAAAATAAATGAAAATTTTTGACACGTGACTTTTCATACACAAAAATTTAAAATATATCAAAAAAAAAAAAATCAAAACCTGACCGTGTGCGGAATAAAATTTGCCAGACATATATAAAAGTAAAATTGCATATGATCGTCACCGGAATCTGTCTCATCCGAACAAGGACCCACTCCAGTCTCCCCCAAAACCCCGAAACTTCTTCTCCTTTGAAAACTCCAACACTTGCAGCAACCTCAAACACTCTCCTAAAACTAACAAAACTACAAACACAAGTGGAAAGAGAGAAAGTAAAGTCAAAGCAAACTCTCGGCTCGAGTTCCCAACTCTCCCCTCTGTACTTCACTCTCTAAAACCCAACACCATACAAAAGGAAGTAAAAGCATAAAAACGAATCCTGATACAGAAACAATGTTTCTGGTTTTCTTGCTTCTGTTTCTGGATCCTCTGCTACATGCTTTTGCTCTAAACCAGGAAGGCTTGTACCTCCAGCGAGTCAAGCAAAGCCTTTCGGACCAAACCAACTCCCTTTCCTCCTGGAATGACCGAGACGAGACGCCATGCAATTGGCGCGGCATTTCCTGCGACTTGGTTACCGGACGAGTCGTCTCGGTCGACCTTTCTGAATTCCAACTCGCTGGACCTTTCCCGGTTATCATCTGCCGACTCCCTGCTCTTCGCTCCATTAATCTCACCAACAACAACATTAACTCATCCCTGCCTGATGATCTTTACACATGTCAAAATCTAACGATCCTCGATCTTTCACAGAACGTCCTTGTGGGGTCCTTACCTGACTCCCTCGCCAAAATTCCGACACTGAAAACTCTAATCCTCTCACAGAATAACTTCTCAGGCGAAATTCCCGCGAGTTTCGGAGAATTCCCCCGGCTCGAACTTTTAAATTTGGGGGGAAATCTCCTCAACGGAACGATTCCTCCTTTCCTGGGAAACATTTCGACTCTAAAAGAGCTCGACCTAGCCTATAACCCGTTTTCGCCGAGTCATACCCCGAGCGAACTCGGTAACCTAACGAATCTCGAGCAGCTATTTCTCGCCGGCTGTAACCTTGTGGGCCAGATTCCGTCGAGTTTCGGTCGGTTGACTCGGCTTCTAAACCTTGATTTGTCCTTTAACAGGCTCACTGGGTCGATCCCTAGTTCAATTTCGGAGTTGAGAAGCATTGAGCAACTTGAGTTATATAACAACTCTTTGTCCGGAGAATTGCCATTAAATCTGGGTAATTTAACTACGTTAAAGCGATTCGACGTGTCCACGAACGAGTTAACTGGGACAATTCCGGCTGGGTTATGTGGGTTACAGCTTGTGTCATTGAATCTTTTTGATAACAGGCTTGAAGGAACTTTACCAGAGAGCATAACTCGGTCAAAAGACTTGCAAGAGCTGAAATTGTTCAACAACAAACTCAGTGGTTCATTACCGAGTCAACTTGGTGAAAACTCGCCATTGCAAAGTCTGGATTTATCTAATAATCAATTTTCTGGAGAAATCCCAGAGAATTTGTGTGCAAGGGGGAAATTAGAGGATATTGCCCTGATTTACAATTCATTTTCTGGTAAAATCCCGGAAAGTCTAGCTAAATGCTGGAGCTTGGGCCGGGTTCGGTTCAAGCACAACCTTTTCTCGGGTTTGGTCCCAGCCGGCTTCTGGGGACTACCCCGAGTATTCTTGCTCGAGCTTGCTGAAAATTCCTTTAGTGGGCAAATTTCAAAGATGATTTCAAGTGCTCATAACCTCTCATATCTGTCAATTTCCAACAACCGGTTTTCCGGATCGTTACCTGACGAAATCGGGTCATTGGAGACATTGGTAGAGATATCTGCAAGTGGAAACATGATCACCGGTCAGATTCCTGGATCTTTGGTGAAATTGAGGCAGTTGGTTAGCCTTGATCTTAGTGAAAATGAGCTTGACGGAGGGATCCCGGTAGGAATTAGGGATTGGGTGAATTTGAATGAGTTAAATTTGGCTAACAATAGGCTATCTGGTAGTATTCCTAGTGATATTGGTAGCTTGCCCTCGCTAAATTATCTCGATCTTTCCAGTAACTCATTCTCTGGGAAAATCCCAAATGAGTTGCAGAATTTAAAGCTGAATGTGTTTAATTTGTCGTATAACCGACTTTCAGGAGAGCTCCCTCCTTTTTATGATAAGCAAATTTATTGGAGTAGTTTTGTGGGGAATCCCGGATTGTGTGGTGATTTGGAGGGTCTATGTCCAAAGATACATAAATCTAAGAATCAGAGTTATACGTGGATTCTGAGATCCATTTTTGTACTTGCTGGCTTGGTTTTTGTTATAGGGGTTGTGTGGTTCTACATCAAGTACCGAAGTTTCAAAACGAATAAGAAAGGAGCTACGATATCCAAGTGGAGATCATTTCATAAGATTGGGTTTAGTGAATTTGATATTGCTGATTGCCTCAAGGAAGAGAATGTGATAGGAAGTGGAGCTTCCGGCAAAGTTTATAAAGTTGTGCTTAGTAACGGTGATGCAGTGGCAGTGAAGAAACTCAGCCGAGGTGTTAAGAAAGAAGATTCTTTGAGTGCTGATAGAGAGAGAGATGAGTTTGAAATTGAAGTTGAAACGCTGGGAAAAATTAGACACAAGAATATTGTCAGACTCTGGTGTTGTTGCAACGTTGGAGATAGCAAACTTTTAGTTTATGAGTATATGCCAAATGGGAGCTTGGGGGATTTGTTGCATGGTAGCAAGGGGGGCTTGTTAGATTGGCCCACCAGGTTTAAGATTGCTTTAGATGCAGCTGAGGGGTTATCCTATTTGCATCATGACTGTGTTCCTCCAATTGTTCATCGGGATGTGAAATCGAACAATATATTGTTAGATGGAGAATTTGGGGCCCGAGTTGCGGATTTTGGAGTTGCTAAGATTGTTAAAAGAGTCGAGAAAGATGCAGAATTGATGTCTATGATTGCGGGCTCTTATGGTTACATTGCACCAGGTTTGTTCCTTCTTGATGCTTTTTCATTTAAATTTCCCCTTTTCAGTTTGAATATTTAGTACTTGTGTTGGTTGGTTAAGAATAGTATCTTTCTTATTTGATATCATATGATCTGTTCATCAAATCAATTGCTCCGGCTACTCCTTTTCTAAATAAGTAGCTTCATGATTCTTTTGTAAACTTTAATTTTGGAGTTTAAATTCACAGTTTATAAGACATTGTTGCTTCACTACAACTCTCAGTTTAAGCTTTAGATTAGTGACTGCATTGGCCTACTAACATGAACTTTGTTGGACATTAAAATCCCCTTATGAATAAGAGTGACTAGCAATCTTTCTTGCAACATCATCTATATTACCATTTGTTGTTCGATTTGTTCATTGCGTCTTCCTTTAAATGCAGAATATGCCTACACCCTAAGAGTGAATGAGAAGAGTGATACCTACAGTTTTGGGGTAGTCATCTTAGAGCTGGTTACTGGTAAACTGCCAACTGATCCAGAGTTTGGAGAGAAAGATGTGGTAAAATGGGTTTGTGCTACCTACGACCAAAACGGTGTGGATCAAGTTATCGACCCCAGACTGGACTCTACCTACAAGGAAGAAATTTGCAAAGTACTCGACATTGGTCTCCTCTGCACAAATGCACTTCCTATTAACCGCCCGTCAATGCGGAAGGTGGTCAAATTGTTGCAAGAGGCTAGTGGGGAGAGCAAGTCCAAAGGTGGTAAGGATGGAAAGCTCTCCCCGTATTACTACCACGAGGAAGCCTCTGATCAAGGTTGTTTAGTATAAGTTTAATTAGTTGAATTTAGAGAATCCCAGTGAACGTTTTACTTGTTCAAGCCGGTACGTTTCCTGGGGGAGAGGTAATGGTACAGTGCAATCGAATTTGAAGTGCCCAATTTGAAAAGTATACCAAGTAGTTAGACAGACCACAGACAGTAGCTGTTTAGGTAATGCAAAACATTTATTTCCATAAGCAAGCGCTGTAGTACAAGTTTACAAGGTAGTTTGCGGAAAAGATCCAAAGTTTGAGTGGTTCATTTTGAATCTTCCCTCCTTTTAATTTCATTTTTATACCCATGCCTTCACCATTAAATCCTCAAATTGAAGAAGATACCAGGCTCGATTTGTGTACTCAACCTTTTGCAGAATTTTAGAAATTCAGCCCGATCTAAACTATATTCTTTAATACATGAAAACAGGTAAGGCTTAAGAGGAAGGAGATCATGCAATCATAATGTTACAGAAAAACACACAAACGAGAGATAGATTGAGCAACTTAAATAAAAAGGAGGATGATGCATGTGAAATGCATAATTGAGTTGTGACTAGGGGAAAGGATGGTTTCATCTACAAACTACATGCCAAAATTGAGAGGCTTTTTATATATATTGGAATTGATCAAGTTGAGGCTTTAATTTTAGAGAGATGAGGACAAACGGTGCTGAAGAGGAAGTAATGAAAGACTAGGGTTTTTAGATATTTCAAGTTACTTAAGTTGTTAACAAATAAAACAAAAAGAATGTGATGGGTAGGTAAAAAAAAAAACAATTATGTTGATAATGGGCAATGGTCATGGGTAAAGGCTTGACCCATTATAATCAAATCAGCCCAATTCAAAAAATAAATAAATAATTTTTATTTTATTTTTTAAAATAATTTTAACTTATTAGAAATATATATTTTTTACTTTTATTTAGAGAAAAAGTAAAAGAAAAATAAGAGGAAAAAGTTTTTTTTTTGGCTATTTAACAAGCACCAGATGACGCTTTATAGTGTACAATTCGCATAAGATTCACGAATGAACCGCACTTCAACCGATGATTTGTAATTTTTTAAATTATTTTATTAATTATTTTGATTTTATTTTGGTTTTATTTTTTAATTTTTTTAATTTATTTTAGTTATTGTTTATTTAAATTTTAAATTAGGATAGATTTTTATTAGTTAAAAGTTATAATTTTAATTAAAAAATATAATAACATTTTGAAAATAAATTAAAATTATTCCAATAATAAAGTTTTTAAAAATCTACAATGCTTCATTTTCTGAGAAATTTCTATTTCAATAGTAATAATTGATATTTACTTTCATGTAGAGAGAATGTAAAATAAAAATTGAAAACAAATGAAAATTATTTCAATATTGAAATTTTAAAAATTGTGAATGATTGGTTTTCTAAAAAAGTTTTAGATGAGAATTTTTTCTATATTTTATACAAATGATTAAAAATTAAATAAAGTTTTAATAATAATAAACATTTATTTTTAAATAATAATAAAATAAAAATAAAAAATTTATCAACTTCCCACAACGTAGTGTGGGAAAAATCCTAGTAAATATAAAAATTACATATCATGGTAACAATAACACATTTTGATTTAATTTATACTACATTATATATAGCATTTCTTTACATAGCTATAATTAAATCTAAATAATTATAATAATCAATTTAAAGTTCGTTAAGATTACATGTAAATCTATCTTTTTTATTTTTAAGTAAAATTATTTTATTAATTGACATAATTAATTAAATAAACACATGTCAATTATTTAAATTTAGTTATGAAAACATTACCATAAAATAATAATCATAATTTTGTGATATATTTTTAATTTTCTTTTAAATACTTCAATATTGTCGAAACTCAATGTCAACATTGTTATTTATGATTTTTCAAATCTTTTTAGTTTCTGTCATTATTAAATATTTTCTTCAAGGCGATGTTTGATTAATGCATTAAATATTGGATTTAGTAATTTTTAAAATTCGTTTTCCAATTAATTTTAATTGTTATAACGGTATAATGTTATACATTCATTCCTACTTATTAAAAAATGGCTCAATAGCATCATCACTATCAAACTTTTATTTAGAGAAAATAAGTAACAAATTTTTTGTACATATTATGAAGTCTAAAGTCGGAGGCTGATTTGAACGTGGGACGTTAATTCTAATTAACGAGGGGTAAATCAAAGATTAACACATACTGTAAAGGTTGGTTAAATTATATATTAGATCTTTATAATTTAGTTAAATGGTAGAATTATTTTTTTTTATTATTATTTTAATGTATTCAAATTGAATCTTTATACTTCAATTAATTGTTAAATTTAATTAAATTGTTAATGGTTCAAGTTTTTTTCCGCTAAAATTGATGACATGGTATTTCGACTTTTTCGATGTGGCACTTTTGTTTACATAGTCATTGACTTTGTTTACGTGTAAAATTCATGTGGTCAAAGATGATGATGTGGCAAAGTTTTTTGATATGTCATTATTTTTTTGCATCAACTTTTCTCAAATTATATAGTTTGTCTATGTATTTTTGTTAAATGATGGAATTAGTTCTTATACCTTAATGTGTGTTCAAATTCGATACCTATACATCAATTAATTATTGAATTTAAGATTTTATCAAAAATAATATATAAAAAATATAAATTATTAATTTGACTGTGACATTTTTTCATATTTAGATTTTTTTGACTATGGCATCTTTTCATATTTAGATTTTTTTGGGTATTTGAATTATTAATTAGATTTAATTTGACAAATTGGATTAATCTCAAATTAGATTACAAGTCCAACTTAAACTGAATTATATCTTTTCTTTATATTTCCTTTATTTATTTATTTTGAGTTTGAGTTTGATTTTTCATTTTTTGTTAATTTCTATTTTCAAGTATTGGCAATTTTTAGGATAATTTTTTTCTATGATTGTTGAATTTTTTAATCATTAGTTTCTAGAAATCCCATTGAATGAGACTTGTAGAGAGTAATAAGAGAAAAACTAGGATGGGATGGAGGAGAAAAGAGAAAAATTTTTAAAAATGATTATTTTTATTTTTATAATAGATTGACATGATGACATTTTAGAAGATAGGTCTAGTGTAACTTGTGTGTTACCCAATGCATTAACTTTGTTATGACTGGACTTATTTTGCATTAAATTTTTTTTAAAATTTTATTTTATTTATTTTAATTCAAATCTTAAATTTGATAATTAATTGATATATAAGGATAAAATTTAAACACATATTAAGATAAAAAGATTAATTTTATCATTTAATTAAAGTACAAAGACGAGTTATACAATTTGAGAAAAGTTAGATGTGGAAAATGTTTACGTAGTAAAAAATTTTTGTCATGTCATCATTTTTACCATGTTGACTTGGCACATTAGCAAAGTCAATAGCCATGTAAGCAAAAGTGTCATGTAAGAAAAATCAAAATGTCAAGTCATCAATTTTAATAAAAAAAGTTTGAATTGTTAATAATTTAACTAAATTTGATAATTTATTGAAGTATAAGGATTCAATTTTAATATGTTAATATAGATGAACTAATTTCATCATTTGATTAAAGTGTAGAGATCTATTGTACAATTTGACCTAAAGTTTTTATCTCTCTTATACACATATACAAAAATTGAAAAAAAATAAAATTAGCAAAACAAATATAAAAAATTTCATAAAAGAATTAAAATGTTGTTATTCTAATTATCTTTTACAAACGCCAATGCTATAATTCTAATAGTTAAATTAAAATTGAAAAATAGAAACTAATGGAATGTAATATCACGAAACCATTATAACATTCTCAATGGATGATCAATGCACCAATGCTAATCCATTTGATTAACCATGCATTAAGTTGACACACTTTAACATATATTAATAGTTTTTTAGTAGAAAATTTTAATAAAATTAAGATTAAATAATTTAATTAATATAATTTTAAAGATCAAATTATATATAAAAAATTAAGTTAAATTAAAATACAACATGAAAGTAGAAAAACCAATCCTTACCAAATTTTAATTAGCAAACATGCACAAATATGAGATAAAAAAGAATTGGCTAAATGTTAAATTTAGGATTAAACGTTTGGGAGGCTATTCAATTCAGGACTAAACGTTTTATTTTATCGAATAAGGATTAAACGTTATCGGCTTGTAATAATTTATGATTTTTAGAAACAGAAATAAAGTTGTCAAAGACACGCGTTGTTAAATTGCACAGTTGGAAAATAATCAAATTTATTGTTAAATTGGAAAAAAAAAGTCAAATTTGGTTGTTGAACTCATAAAAAATTTAAAAATAAAATTAAATGAAAATGTTTAACTTTTTACTTTTATTTTCTTTTCCTTTCTCTTTATCTATTCTTCTCTGATAAATTCTTTCTCACATACCTCTTTTCCTAATTTTTCAAATTCTCCTTAGTCACCATTGTTAAATAAATAAATCATAATTGAACAATAATCTTCTGAAATCCAAACACATTTTCAAAGATTAATCTTCCTTTTTACACCTAATAAAACCCTTTTCTTCTCCAAATCTGAACCCATCTACAAGATCACTGTTGCATCATTGTTTGGCCCTTAGGTTGATATCCTAATTAGCCAATGCTCAAATGTCTCCAGGCTAGTGTTAACAACTCAGAGAATGCCATGCTATTCAACAAACTCCCTATCTTTCCTCCACTTTTGTTGAGGTTGCTCCTAAAGTAAAGTTGTGAGTGTTAGGCTAGAAGAAGAATTTACAAAGCCACCAAAAAAGCCTTTAAGATGCTAACTTGAGCCATTAATGAAAGAGAGAAGGTAAGAATTTTTTTTCTTTTGGAAATTGTGAGAGAATTTTGGTTTGTTTGGTGTTTTAGGTTTACAACCATCAGATTTTCAATTACCCGTTATTACTCTAGACCAAAAAAATCATAAACCCAGATTATAAAATACATCATATCTAAAAACACACAACTAAAGCACACAAAATTTGTATTGTGAATAAAGCTGTTAGAAGGAAAGGAAAGGAAAGTTACAATTAAAGAAAGAAAGTAGATACTAAAATAGAGAAGCTGAATAGAAAGAAAGTAGATACTAAAATAGAGAAGCTGAATAGAGAAAATAAGAAACAATTTGAAAGAAAAAGATGAACCATCTTTTGCATATCTATGAAATGGTGGGAAGGAGAGCTGGGAAGAAAATTTTGAGCTACAATAAAAAAAAGAATTTGAAAAAAAAAGAAAGTTGAAAAGTTTGTGTTTTTATAAAATTAATTTTTTAAATTATTATTTTGACTTTTCACCAAAAAAAGGCTAGGTTAGCTTGAATTTACTTGTTTTACTCGTTATTAAGGTGCATGTCTTTCACAGTTATGTTTCTATCAATAAAAA